GAGATTGCAACAAAAATACCACATTCATGTAGACTCATTATGGATGCCAAGTGTGTCTTTTGTGACTCCAATGCGCAGTTGAAAAAGGTTTTTAAAACTTCCTTTTGTGACGTACTATTTTGACGTCATCCAGATGTTGTCACCCAGGCGTGAGACTATAATGTGATTTTTAAAAGTCGTAGTGTGATCCAGTGTGACGAAACTATTACATATTGTCTCTACTGGTTGATCGTGTGACTAAATTGCGAAGCGTCACGTCTTCATCACAAGGTTACTCCAACACGACAATTAAATGTGTTCTTTTTGACACTTAGGTGACGTCAAAGTGTGACGTCACCATAGGTGGACATAGTAACATTTTAATCTACTCATTGAATTTTTAAAAGTCTCACGAGACTTTGCATTTTTGTTGCAATCTTGTATTGGTAGTACATTCTGGGTAATGCTTAAAACATTTAGCTATTTCACTTGTTTATAAATACATAAGAAAGTATTAAATATCTCTAAAACTGAACATGTTCTTAGTGTATGACTTTTAGACTTGTGTACAGGTTAACTTCAAAATCGTTCCTTTTTCTATGCTTGTATTTTTTGTAGATCCATGCAATCCTATTCCTTGCAAAAATGGAGGTTCATGCCAAATTAATGGAAGTGACTTCATATGCAAATGCAACGGACACTTTGATGGAAAAACGTGTGATACACGTAAACATACATTTTATTATTAGTGTAGCCATAGTAATGGTTAATAAAGTTATTAATATAGGGGAGAGTCGGGTAGCACCGCCCACTTAAGGAGTATTGCTTATATTTATGTATAATATTGAGTAATAATCAATATTTTTATATGTTTCTATTGCTTTACCATCTAATTAAATAATGCAAAAAGAATAAACCAAAAAAAGAATAGTTTAACTTAAAAAAATAGAAATTTAAAAAAAACATGTTTTTCAGCTCTTTTCAAAATGTGTCGGGTAGCACCGCCCAGTTACAAAAATTATGTTTGACTGTTTTTTCAGGTATAAATGAAAGTGACCAATGTATTGACAATTGATAAACCTTATTTATCATTTTTATCACAAAATAATTTTATTTATTACATATTACTATACTTTTAGTGAATTCTATCATTTAATAACAACAATAGTTGTTGTTAAAAATGTATATAACATTCAAATTTGAAGCAATAAAATAATAATCTTTGCAACCGTACATTTATCGACGAAATAAAATTGGGAGGTGACACCCGACATTCATGTGAGCGGGGCTACCCGAAATCCAATTTTTTTGTAAATTTGTAATTACTCGAACAATTTTTCGCATACAAACTTCTTTCTTCGTGCAAATTAAACTTAAGACTACATACTTTAATGCTGTATGTATAGAAAAAATTATTTTTCTAGTATTAAAATGAAGTTTAATAGCAACTTTCAACCAATTTTTCTTAATTTCATGACTACTGTATTCAACATATTTTCAAAACTATTGTTTACCATGTTAACAGCTGCATAAATACTTGAAACTTTGAAAATAATCTTTTTTTAATATAGCAATTAATGTCCAATGGCCCATTGATTTGAAAAAATATTCTATACATATGAAATTGACTGTGGGCGGGGCTACCCGACTCTCCCCTAATTGCAGTTACCATTAAAAATGCTCAAACACTCTTTTGTATTTTTATAACATTATCACTGCCAACTATTAAACTTTGAGAGGAATTCCAAAAAGCATGAAAACCTTGCGTCGGAATTTTCTTTTTTTTAACACGAAAATGTTTCTACTAATGACATTTTTGCAAAGAAAAGCAAAAATATTGCAGTTTCAAACCTTTCATCCTAAAAGGATTAAAAATTATTTTGTAAAGCTTTTTACAGAGTATTGCTACTAAAGGCCTGGTTCCTTAGGACAGGACGCCGTCAGCTGGAGATCAGCGCTAACCTCTAATTGGTCCATTTGTGAGTTTGATAGCATACGTCATCGAGTTCAAGATGAGCGTTTGATGACGTACACTATCAAACTCACAAATGGACCAATCAGAAGTTAGCGCTGATTTCCAGCTGGCGGCGTCCTGTCCTAAGGAACCAGGTCTTTAGGTAAAATGATCGCTTAGGTCAATGTTGACGTTTTAGATGACGTCACACTATCAATAGGTTTAAATTGCATTTCCATTAAAATGTCAAGACAAGGTGGATTTCAGCTTGAGCATGGAAGACTTTGCGAAAAGAAACCTTATAACTACCTAGATTTAAGATTATTTTCGCCTTGAGACTAGCTTCATTAAAGGATTTTCTCACGATTAAAAACCTTGAGTCAACCGCGGTTTAAGGTTTCATTTATGGAAGGCTGTTCTCCAAGGTTTTGGATTCGGGTAATTTGCGCAGAATAGAGCAGATTGTTTTAAGATTAGAAGATTTACACATAAACAGTATTACAAACCTTTTAAGGTTTACATTAAGAGTTTTTGTTGAGATAAAATAAACCTTACTTTGCTATCAGGGATATCTTTTCATGTAATTGCGCAGACATAAATTGAGAAAGATTAAAAGACGCAAAAAAAGAATTGAATTTTCAAAGCCTTAAAGTACCTAATAATATTGGTATAACTGGGTTCTCATGAAATTTAAATTTTTTTAATGGGAATAGAAAGATTAGTTTCAGGAATATTTTCAGGTATTCTCGCCATTCAAGTAATAGTAGCGAAGTAATAGTTGTTGGCCACTCTTTCAGGAGCCCCATATTAGGTGCGCCAACGTTGTTTCCATAGTAAGAACAGCGCAGAGAATGAAAGAGAACCGGGATTCGAACCCATCTCCTTTCTGATCTAAGGTCAGCTCCGTGATCACTATACAAAAGGGTCGACAGGTTCAAGAATATGGAGTTCTCCTTTCCTAAGATACCATTTTAAGCTTTAGAGAAGCAATTGAGTATATGCTTATTAAAATAAAGGGCCAATTTCCACAATATGAAGACGATTATTTAATAGGATGAAAATATGGGCTTCTTATACTTATTTTAACGTACAACGCGTATTTTAAATTTTATTTCTCAAGAACTTTTAGGCCAATTTTTTGTTAAATTTTAGAACTTTCTTTTAAAATTAGGTGGAAAAAATCTGGCAAAAAACCGGTATGCCCTATCTACAGTGTATAATTTTTCTATCATCAAAACACTAAGTAATAGTTAATAAACAAGAAAAATTGATTTTCGTATAAATGAGATCGAACAAATCCGCATAAAAAATTTGTGTTCCGGAAATGTTATAAAAAAAAATCTAAAAATTGAAATTAGCATAAAGGGGTCAAAACTTTTCACCGCTCTATTGATGCGATATTTTGTAGAATGCAAATACGTCGGAAAAAAACGCATACTTTATCAGATAAATAACGTTTTTTTCGTTGATTCCAAAACCTATTCATGTTTACGTATGAGTAACATTTGCACTAACTAAATGGTATATTATAGACTATTAAGACTGCATCTTAGTACATGACAGTCCTATTATTTTATGAAACGTTACTAATGTGCTTCTTTATTTATTTTGCGCACTGTACTTTTAACTTTTCATATGATATCAAATTTAATATAAATTTTCTTTGGTTGAAAAGAAAAATAAAATACAATTAAATGCATAATTTTAAAGAGACAGTATTTATAAAATAACTGGTTGAATATCAATATAAATAAAGACATTTCATGTATTTTTAGCATGTGATTGTGAAAATGGACACTGCGTAAGAGATACATCAGGAAAAATGCAATGTATTTGTCTACCAGAATATGGAAAAGTATCTACGTGGAAATGCAAAGGTTTGAAACTAAAAATTATTTTATTTTATTATTATTAAGTCGTTCTACTTATTCTGAATGTTAATAACAAGAAAGTAGTGTTATCTGTTACAGTTTGATGCAACAACACAATTGTGGATTTAGTTAACGCATCAACAGTTTTACCAAATGTGTTCAGTTAATAATTTTTTTCAATATAACTTCTATGAGTTTTCTGTCCCGCAGTGGACTGATCGTTAAGACACGATTCCCAGCAGATCACCGAAGTCAAGCATCACTGGCTGCGGTCAGTGTGCGGGTGGGTGACCACTTGCATCAGTCTGCGTAGGGACCGAAGGTGTGCTGTATTGATCCTCGTTAAAGTGTGCTACCGTAAAGTGCTCGACTTCGCACGCAGGTCGTCGGGCTACCGAAGCGGGGGTGCCATCCCCTCCGCAGAGGATCAAAATTGCGATGGCATGTCTTCGAATCATCCTCCGGGATGTTTTCCAGACCGTCGCCAATAGCCCATTGTGAAGCTCTAGTGCGACGTAAGTTAACAACAAGAACAATCTATGAGTTTCCTGATTCTATATTCTCATTGATATTACGCCTTCAGTATTGATTGAGTCATATTTAATTGGGTAATCAAACTATGTTTTCTTAACGGCAGCATGTTTATGACACATCCGTCCCACTGAATATCATTGAGTTTGGAATTGAATAATCCTTACAATAAATGTTTGTTTTTGCACTTGTTGTAGTTGCAATTTAGTTATGTCGCACAAGAGCTACACAATGGGCTATTGGCAACGATGTGTGAAGAATTCCGGAGGGTGAACTGAAGACATATCATCACAATTGTTTTGCCTATGCTAAGGAGATGGTGCCCCCCCCCTTGAGTAGCCTGGTGACCTGAGAGCGAAGTCGAGCACTTTACAGTAGACCATTTTAACGAGGACCAATACCGTACTCCCTCGGTCCCATCACAGGCTTCTCAAAATGGTTACCCACCCGCACACTGATTGCAGGTGTGCTTCATTTTCGAAATGTAATATACGAATTGAGGGATACATTTTTCAACATTAATATAAATCGATATTGATTGCGTATGCTGAATAATTCTCAAAACTATTCTTCTAAAGATCTAAGTCACCAATTTCTTCCCTCTTAATCCATGAGAGCTACAAGAACAATTACGAAACATAAAACTCCAAAATGGAAAGTCAGAGTACTACTTTTACTACTCCTACCTCTCACACTATTACTTCCTAATTAACCGAGTGCTCTTTCAGCCACGAATGGGTACTTTTATTGTGTGCTGATTCAAGAGGGGAAGTGCACCACAGTGAACTGATTGCAAGGACATGGTCTTCAGTAGAACACCAAAGTCAAGCATCACTACGATCAGTGAATCATAGGTGTGTGGTATCGGTTCGCGTTAAACTGTTCAATCGTGAAGTGATAGACCTCGCTCACACCTCATCATGCTACTAAAGAGGAGACCTCAGCATAGGATCAAAATGGTGATAGCATGTCTTCAGATCATCCTCAGGGATGTTTTCCAGATTGTCAACGATAGCTGATTTTGCAGCTTTAGTGCGACGTAAATAAATTACTACTACTATCTAGAGAGGAGGACATGACGTTTTTTGAGCATCTTGTGGTTTGAACACGCTCTGTGAAAGATGTAAACTGAAATGAAGAAATTAGTTATAAAATTTGAACCTGCTGCTTCCGAGTTACAGAGTATTTGGTGAAACAGCAAGATTTCTATTCCGAGAAGGTGCATCCCCTCTGCGGAAGATCAAAATGGTGACAGGATGTCTTTCAGGAAATGACGAGATGGTCTTTGATAAGTTAAATTTCAATCGGTCAGTACAGAAAATGATAATCACTGAGATAAAATCAGGAAACGCATAAGAGCTTGATAAAAAACATAAACTGAGTGCACGAATTAATGTTGTTGAATTGAATGAAGATGTGTTACAAAATTCACAACTGCAGTTGTTTTACTCTTTCTGATTAAGATTCTTTGCATTGATAGGCACAAATTTGTTTTACACTTAGTACTTATTTTGAAGAATATGATATTTCAATTAAGCACTGTATTTTATAATATATATAATAATATATGAATTGACTTTTTTTAAACGCTTTTTTATATTTGTCAACTACTGTTTTACGAACGATATTTTCCAGTGGTAGTCAATGTTAAGCTTTAATATTAGATTTACCGGTTTTACAGCAATGCTAAAGGTTACTTCGGTGAAAAAAAAAGTATTAGAGTATTTACCTTTAACTCAATGTCTATGTTCTTGTTTAAAGAGACATAGCATATCTAATTTAAAAGAGCATCTGCATACATATTTAAACTTATAATAATTGTATTCGACACCACTAAGTGGTACATTACATATATATATGCATTAAAGGGTAAATGTCCTACAACATTTCTTAAAGACGCATTTTGTAAAGGCACCTTTTGCAAAATTATTTTAGCCATCAGAGAGCAAAGAATTTAAAAAGCACATATAGTAATCCTCAATTATACCTTTGTATGCTTTTTTTTAAAAAAATGCTTCGAACTTTAATGGTTTTAACCTGCTTTTCCAATACGAAAACTATATATCAAAAATCGTTAAAGTGGACAGCTATGCTTTTTATAAACCTTGCAATATTAATGATACTCGTCGGATATTAATGCGTCAGCACATTTTCTATAGCTACCAACTTCTACAGTTATTAGGAAAGATTTTACCAAGTGGTGGTAAAAAAATTATTTAAACTAGCAAGCATTTTATAAAAATCAAGCTTCTTCGCCATTACTTAAAATCATAGTTTCATAACTAATCAACCTCACTTGTATGTGTTTGAATTACTGATTCATCCGTGTGGATAAAACAGTTTTTAGAAACTTTCAAAATCGATTTATCAATTTTAACCAAGTTAACCAGTATCTCTAGAAAACTAAACAAATAATAGAGAATCTCTAAAAGAACATTAAAAAATTTACAACTTTCAATAATTGAAAAAAAGGGAAAAATAACAGATGAGGAAGTCAGTTGCCAGCTACAGCAGGCAGGTACTTTGTATCACCTCATATCAAGTCAAATATATATCAATATATGTTTGTTTAATGTCTGTTTGTAATGTTAGTTTGTTTAATAGATCATTGAACTATTTTAGTTATTTGTATTCTTTTACTTTAGCCTGTGAATGCGGAAAAGGAGCAAATTGCACATTCGAATCAGAGTTTATAGTTCTAGAGAAAAAAAAGTGTATTTGCCCTAAAGGTTCAACTGAAATTGATGGAGTTTGCATTAGTAAGTTTGAATACTAATAGTCTTAATTTTTTTAAGCAGCTGTTAAAATAGTTAAATATTTATTTAAATGTAAAGAATTGAATATATATATATATATATATTGTTAATTTTAGTATAAAATATATTTGAATGAAAAAAGGGTGAGGTTTGAAATATTTATGCACTCAAGTAATTATTTGCTTACTTGTGGTACCTACTTTTTCAATAAAACGAAATGCAATCCGATGAAAAATATAATAAAGAGGAGAGAACAAAATTAAAAGGACATTTTAGTAAATTTTAAAGCAAACACGTCTTGACATCAAAATAAAATTTTATGTTCAATTTTATGTAATGTTATTACATTATGTTTTTTAAATGCATAAATTAATTATTCATAATTTTTTTAAAAATAAAAGCACTTAAAGGTAATGAATATTCATTAATTTAAAATTTTCGTTCATTTGCTTACTTTAATTTATTGATTCTGAAAACTATTTTATGTCTTTTAAATCAGTACTTTTAAAATATTTTTTTCATTATTTTCTTAGCGTGTCTGAAAAATATCTGGTTTTTATATGTTAGTTTGGTAATTGTGCTGAACTTGTATCAGTTAGTAAAAAAAGATTCAGTTTTTATCAGTTAGTAAAAAAAAAATTAATATCTTCTTAGAGCACACTTTCAGTTGATTTTCGGAAATAGCATGTAATGCTATGTCAGTTAATTATTGTAAAATTTGATTTTTTTTTAGAATTTAAGTTCTACGTCTTTCAAAATTGATGCGTTTATACTACATTCATTTTTTTAAGATCCTTGTGATAAGAAACCTTGTTTGAATGGTGGAACTTGTCAACCAAATGGGAAAGACTATAAATGCACTTGTGTACCTCCCTTCAATGGAACAAAATGTGAGATAAGTAAGTTTATTTTACATTTGGATTTTTTATAATGCTGATACGAATTATGGAACCAATAAACTTTAACAATACAAAGCATTCCCTTTATTGTACAGGTCCGTGCGACAAGAATCCATGCCAAAATGGTGGGACGTGCAATGTGGAAAAAACAGGCTTTAACTGCAAGTGTGTGAATCCGTTTAAAGGAAATGTTTGCCAAATAGGTATATCATCATTTTATAATCATTACTCTGTCAGAAAAATTGGTCCGATGTCAAACCATGTTAATGGTGTATTGAACTATAACATCGTGCAAGTTTTCTACAATCGATATAAGGTGTTAAATTTAACCATTGGAATTGAGCAATTGTATCATGGAATCAAATTTAAAATGTTGTAATTTGCTCGATAGTCTAGTCAGTGTAGGAATTTTTTAAGGATACAGAAAAATTGAACGATATTAAGGGTTGAACAACCTTGGAAATTTACAAAATTAAACTTATTTAAGTCTATAAATCATGTAGTTTAATATTGCACAACGCAATAACAGGTACAAAAATAGTCCACCAAGATTATTGAATTTGTATTAAACTATTCCTCACAGAAATTGACAGTTTCCCGGATTCAAAAGGCATTTAAGTTTCATTACTTTTCATTCAGTAGATGCCAGATATCAGGGCAAGTATTTGAAGTTAAGGATTATTGCAGTGATCAGTAAAAAATGTAAATAAATGATAAATGAATTAAAAGAGGACTCATTCGTTCGTTCGTGAACTCTATAAATATTTTTCTTATGTGGCACCTTGAAATTGAATATTTCTCTATCTATTGGCAACATTATAGTTATTATTCAATTTGCTAGGTTGTTAGTAATTTAAGTAGAGTAAGAAAATTAGTTTTACCTTAAGTAATTATCCAGATTAATTTAATTGTTGGTTTATTGAGTTAGTTTCAGTAATAATTTAAGTTATGTTGAACAGTTTGTTGTATGCAAAATATTTCTTAGAATATTTCTGCGTGTGTGTGTCTTTTAAATTAAAAATTCAGTTATGAAGTAATTATTTAGAGTTATTTCTAATAACCAAAATGGCTGTTGAAATTTTAAACATTAAAATGGGGTATGGTGTAGTAGACTGTTATACCTATTATTGGTGACAGAGGTTTGCTTTTTTGAGCAATATCATATATACATTATACGATACTCTAGTTATGGATAGAGAGGTGAGTGATGAAGTAGTATAAAACATGTAACAGAGAATTGTGGTGATTTTTTTTACCCTATCTCCTGTCAGATATGGAAATAGTTTTCATACTTCTGCGGTTAACTATGATGAGATATCTCAAATTCATGCTTATGGTAGTTTGTGCAATTTAATGACTGCAAAACAGATTTTAAAATACTACTACATAAAGAATTTTAACAAAAACTTGGACATCTCTCGATAGTACTTAAAATTGAAATCAAAGCACTTCCGAAAGCAAAGTAAAGAAACCTCAAAGTAAAAAAAAAAAACCTCATTCAGCAGCTAGACAGTGGAAAAGTTTGGTTAATTCACTATTTAAAACTAATTGGGGGATGGGTTGAAGAATTAGAATAGTTAAATATAGTTGGGCTGTGCATTAAATTTAGTTTCAATTAAAGTTTACATGTTGTACAGAAGTAAAAAAAAATGAACCTAATGATTGGATCTTCACGTTCAATATTAATGATGCGAGGGGATAATCTCACGTGTGCTAATTTTTTAGAGCTGGAGATATTTTAAGTAACGAAATCAAACACTAAAACGTACTTTCTTTGAATTAAAAAACCTTTGTTTGTCAGAACTCCAAAATATAGGGCGTAGCCACAATCTGGGAAATAGTTTACCCATAGTTTGATCAAGAGAGCAGTCAAAACTTTGAATCAAATACGTTAGAAAAAAAAGTATATTTATTAAAAAAAAAAGTACGTTTTTGTGTCTGATTTCGTAAGCTAAAATATCATTTGCAGTATACAATTAGCATATTTGAAGCTACCCCCTCGTACCATTAAGATTGTGTCCTAAATCGTGAAGATCCGAACATTGGATCAACAGACATTCAGAGTGGCCCTTCTTAGCTTTAGAACACGATATATGAAAAAGTTAAAAGTTGACCAAGATTTTCACCATTAGGGCTGGTTTCATAATAAAAACCTTTTTTTAGCTGTCACTAGAGGAGAGTTCAATAATTTCAAGAAGGAACATAATATTCAACGCAACAACCCTTTCTTCTGCTTGACTGCAATTATTCCGCGTTTCTTTTAAAATCTATGACACACGTGCCACAAATGAGAAAATATGCAATAGATTTATCATGCATATTTATTCACAGATCCTTGCACAAATAAACCATGCCGAGATAGAGGTACCTGCAGGGTTCTTGGGAACTCATTTAATTGCACCTGTGAAAAACCTTTTTCAGGAAACACTTGCGAAATTGGTGAGTAGGAAGTTATTTCTCTTTTAAGTATTTAGCCGCCATTTTAATTGTTTTTTATAATTTCCTTATTCTAAATGATAAAATGTTTTCGTATTTTGTTTTCTAATAGTTTGAAAAGCATATTCTTTTAATCTTGTTCCAGTTTATGCAAATCCATATTAATGTGTGAAAGGATTATATGTGATATACATGTGCAGAAAGGATTTGAGTGTGCAGAAAGGACATGTGCAGAAAGGATTCATTTCACCAATTAATGCTTCAGTTTTTATACATATATTATCATGTTAAAAACACAACCTTTATAGACTTGTTCCCCTTTTTTTTAAAGAAAAAGTACATAGATGCCAACTTGCTCCGGACAGCAAATATATATTTTAAAGTGGTAGTTTATCAATCGTGATTTTTGGTTTAATAAATTCAATATAGTAAATTTTTATCCACCACTATTTCTAAATAATTCGTAGGTTTATATAATTCACTATTTCCTAGTGATTATGTCGTATAGTACGCCATACAAAGCAAGCAATAATAGTCAAATATTTGCAAAATTTACTCAGTAATTATTTACTGTTTTTTTTAAAATTATTTTGGCATGTCTGGAGCAGTTGGCATCTCTGAGTCTTTTTTGACATCAATGACTTTGTAAAATCTCATTTTTGAAATCGGATTGCCAGTCAGTACAATTGTTTCCGTATGATTGTTCTTTATTTTAAATTATATAAATTATTACACCTGACCAATTTTTTTCAGACCCTTGCACTGTTGGTCCTTGCAAGAATGGTGGCACATGCAGCCTTTATGGCATTAATTTTAAATGCCAATGCAAATCTCCCTATTTTGGAGAAACATGCACGAAAGGTAAGTAACGCTGCTTTTATCTGAAAATGTATTTTTTAAATGTTAAATAAAAAGAAAAACCGCCAGTGTTTAATGATTTGTTTTAACTTATTCCAGATCCTTGCACGAGCAATCCATGTCTTAACGGTGGCTCTTGTACATTTGATAAGAATGGCTTCTACAAGTGCGCATGTAAACTTCCTTATTCTGGAAAGAATTGTGAAACAGGTAAAGCACAAAACAATTATTCTGGTTTTAAAAAATGAATGAAAGTTTAATCCGTTCATTACAAGCGCCGTATTTGTCCGGCACTCATGAGATGAACTGTGTGTACAAAGCACCGTATTGCATGAGGGCCGTATTTAGTCAGAGTGATACTGTTTGATAACTAATAATATTACTAACAATATATTTTTAAAGAACTTAGTAAGTATGTTGCATTTTTATTTATAATGCTTACAAAATCTCCAAATATAGTTATATAATCTTTAAATAATAAAACCCAAATATCAACTTACTGAAATGCAATGTGAACACTTCACGGCACGATTTACCGTTCAGTGGCGTTGCTTGCTATAATAAATTGCCACAACTGAAAGGTTAACAAAGTAAAAAGAAAAAAAAACTTAATAAATAATACTGGGCTGAAAGTAAGACGGAAAAGAGAAAAAACGGCGGATAGAAATATTTAATTGACTTTCGTGCGGCGTAAGACAAGCTTACAATTCTTTAACGTGTGAACAGAAAAAACGAAGAGTCATTAGATACGCTATAACCAGGGTTGAAAGCCTATATATACCGAGACGGAAAAGAGCAAAAACTAGTACGAAAGTCATTTTTGTCGAGGAACATTACATTTCTGTAACTGCCAAGAGAAGAGAATCAAGTTACTTTTTCTAAAAACTGGTTCAAACTGAACTGGTTTTACTACCAGCTCCTCCATTTTTTTCGTCTCGCTTTCACCGATAGTTATAACTGTTAAAAAAAAAGAAAAGAAAAAAACATCGGCAGTCATGGATATTTTACTTTTTCGAAAACAGGAAATAATTATAACTTCGATAGGCATGGATAATTTAATTATTGCTTGTTTAGGAGAAGTAAAATATCCATGACTACTGTGATGCCACAATTGGCATTACATGTATCTTACCTTTTGAAATATCGTTAATTAATTAAACTTATTTTTCTAATCATATTAATCGAATTATATTTAAATTAAATCAATAAGTTAATAATTATTGAAGCTAGCATAAAATACTTTAGTCTTTTCTTATCAATTAATGTAACGGCTAACTTTTTATTTCAATGCTAATGTAGACTAATTAGTTCACTGTTTGTCACACTTAATCGAAGACAAACATCTATTTATAACTCATTATTATTAATGTTTTACTGCAAATATGTTTCAGTTACAGGGTTATAATAATTCTCTCAGTCTTGTTGGGGATTCGCGATCGCCTAGGTATTTTCAAACCTAATATTTATTATGCGGGGTAGGCTTTATTTTGGCTATGTTATATTTCTATAACTTGCCAATTTGGGTTATTATTTGTCTATTATAAATATGACATTTTTAATATGCTAATTCTAACTTAAATAAATCAAATTTTTACTTAAACGATTTAATTTATTTTTCTGGAGACAATATTTCAAATATGGCGTCATCATAACTACCGACATCATAACAATCGACTTTTTTTTAAAACTAAGAATTGAATTGAATGTAGGGTTTAACGACTTCGTGCCATTAAACCCGACTCAATTCTTAGAATTTTTTTTTTTTAAACATTGGTAGTCACATGAATATTTTACTTTTTTCATAACAAGCAATAATGAGAAGATATTTCATACCGGTTTTTACACTTTTTCCCGCCTTTCACAATCCAAAAATTAAATAGATCAAAGGTTTTACCGTCAGTTTAGATATGCAAATAAACTATTCAGGAAAATCCAAAAAAAAATTTAGTTGCAATGACAAATGTGTTTTTTTTTTCATTTAAGCTTTATATATATGGTAAGTAATCATTACTGTATGGTCAGGTCCTAAACCAAGTCCGCGTATTAATCAAGGCTGAATGATGATTTGGTATTGCTTTTTCTTTTACCTTAAAGAATCTATAATGAGCGATTATCCCTTTCTGCTTTGTTTGAATTTATGAATGAGAGTGGTATTTTTCAGTCATATTATCCAAACCCAATGTAACCTTGATTTAATTTTATTTACAGAACCATGTAAGCCTAATCCTTGTCAAAATGGGGGAATTTGTAAGGAAGTTGGTACAAAATTTGGATGTGAATGCAAAGATCATTATGAAGGTGATAAATGTGATTTAGGTAAGTAAATGTATATGTTTAACTTACCTACAATTAGTTTGGATATGAAGATTTCAATTTAAAGTTATAAGGCTGACGCTAAAAAAACAAGAAAAAGAAGAAAAAAAAATCTTTGTGTTAACCACTCTCAAAGTTCAAATCCGTAGACTTGATTCGAATTCAACCCAGAAAACAAGGTTTTCTGTATCTATGCTATCATTAATTTTTAATGCTCAATTCCAAATTTCTACTGCAATTAATGTAAATATCGCAGATTAAGCATGTATTTCATGTTTTTGAATCACGATTTTGTGCATATATGCTATCATTAATTTTTAATACTCAATTTCAAATTTCTACTGCAATTAATGTAAATATCACAGATTAAGTTCGTATTTCATGTGTATCCATCTAATCATGGCTGTATTCATTTTTCAATGGCAATTAATGTAAATCTCTGATCAAGTTTGTACATACTTCTAATCATGGTTACTTTATTATAATGTTACCACATTGTTGCATTATTCAAAATGTTTTATTCACTGTATATAATTTTCATAATGAATGGGGTAGGGGCCGCTGCACGGCCTAGGCACCCAGTTTTTTTAAACAAAGAACGAAAGAAAACAAGGGAACATTGGAACGAACTAGCTTAGGTGGAGATTATTTGCATGGAATGGAACCAACCCACATTTATAATACACGGGGTTGAAGACCACGAAAATCACCACTGAGGACATTCGAATACAAAACTTAAGATAAATGCAGTACTGCAGCGAAATAAATGCGTGAACTTAAGTTCTTTTATTACAGAAAAAATATTAATGTATGCAATAATAACATTCGACAAAGTGGACCTTGTAGTCAATGTAACACAGTTAAAAAGTTCTAATGACAGTTCTAAAGAAAATGTTTAAAAAAATTAGGTCAGCAAGTATCGCAAATTTTAGTGTGTAAAGTTATTAATTATGGCTATTTATGTCCCGGAAAAGGTCGTAGTAAAACTATCTTATAAGTAACTTTTTAACTAGAAATAAAGATATCATAACATAAGTACTAAATTGTTTCCTATGGTAGGAAATAACTGTTAATAAATTCTGCGAATCTCGGTTTTTGCTTATGCAATTTAGAAATTAAATGGTATAACTGAATGCCTTCACACCGTTTTTATAGGTATTATGCTACTATTATGTTTAACCATTTTACGAAAGAGCCATTTAAAAGAAAATCTCTTAAAAATTAGAAAGTGGCAATGTCTAAAAATTTGTTTAATTTACGTATATCATTGGTTTGTCAAATTGCCACTACAAATTCACTTCTCAAATATATATGATGCATTTCTCTCAATAACTATTAAACAAAGCCATAAGGCCTCAAACGTCCAGTTCCGTTACAACGAACGAACGATTACTATTAAAATAGAATTTGGGTTTATGCGTACAGCTGGTTCACTTTTTAAATAATTTGCGCAGACTAGTTATAAAAAACCATGCGGAGGCTTCCTGATATAGGAGGTGAGAGTTATGTCTGACTAAATGAGTTCCATTGACAGAACCGAAAACCACTACCCTTTTTTGGAAAATAAAAAAAAACTATTGAGTGGTAGCCATTTAAAATTCAAAGCTTTCAGAACTTTTCATAATTTTACCAACATTTTAAAAGCTTTACCACTGATATGTTGGAGTCCTAGTCATAGTGCTTTGATTTTATTGGGCACCTAGGCCACGAAGCGGCCCCTATCCCATTCATCTGGAATTTTAGAACAGTTTTGGTTGAGCAATGAGGTAAGCAGGCAATGGAGTTGCTTTTATGAATGTTTCAAGCTCTTTGCTTGAATAACTAAAAAGGAATCAAAAATAAATTGAGCAGCTTGCTCTAAACTGTGTTTGTTTGATTTTGGAGTTGTTCAGAATTGTATCAGCATGAGTAAACGTTATTTTCAGAAAGGTTGATGAAATTATTTGTTTTGATAGTTATGATATGAGGCGTCGGAGGTGAAATGTGCAGCTATTGGTCTGTAGTTTTTATCTTTGATATAATTTTCAAATTTAAAGATTTCATTAAAATTTGCTGTTTTACATTCTATGGCTTTATCGAAAAAATCTGCGTTTAGCTTGTATATATGCTGTGATAGAGTTGGTATTTTGAGGTCTGCATGTATATTGGTATTCCGGATGAACCATCTTGCACAGGTTATTTTTCTAAGGATCTTGTTTTGGCATTGGTTTAATTTCTTCAGTAGATGTTGAGGTATCGTTGTCCAGGCAGGTGAGGCATAGGTAAGTATTGGGCGGATCATTGCTGTATATAGTAGCTTCTTTAGTTTAAGTGACATATTCTGATTATATATTAATGGTTGTATGGCTATTATTGCTGCATTTTGGATTAATATTGTGCTTTTGATGTGATCATTCCAGGTGAGTTTGCTATTGATTATAAGGCCAAGATAATTTGCTTTTTTAACTATTGGTATTGGTATGTTGAACATTTTTGGTTGAAGTTGTGGAAGTATTTTAATTCTTCTTTTTTGTATAATTAATATTTGTGATTTTCCAGCATTTACTGCAGTTTTCCATTTTAAGCACCAGTCTTCTATTTCGTCTATATGGTCTTGTAGTTTTTGAAGAGCATGATTTGGGTTTCTGGATTTAATAATAATACCGGTATCGTCTGCGTAATAGGCTGTTATGCTGTTATAATCGGCTTTGTTTATAGGAAAATCATGAGTGTATAATATGTATAATATCGGTCCCAGAATGCTGCCCTGTGGTACTCCGGCTGTGATGTTTCTCTTTGTGGATTTTTTGTTTTTGATGGTGATTTGAAATGTTCTATTAAAAAGATAGCAGGATAGGAGTTTGATTATGCCGGGTGGAAAATTCAGCTGTATGAGTTTATATATTGTACCAGTGTGCCATACTTTATCAAATGCTTTGGATATGTCGATCATCAGGAAGGCTATTGTTTTTTTATTTATGATTGCTCTGCCGGTATAGTCTATTATTCGGAGTAACTGTTTGGTGGTATCTAGTTTTTGTCGGAATCCATACTGTTCGTCGGGGAGGGCTGTAAGAAGTGGTTTTATTCTATTGTAGATGATTTTTTCGTATATTTTTCCAAGTATGTTAAGTAGACTGATTGGGCGATAACTCTCAGGGCAGCTTGGGTTCTTATTTTTCTTGAGAAATAGAATGACTGATGCGTTTTTCCAGATTTGTGGGTAGTAATTATGAGCAAGGCAGACATTAAAAATATGCGTGATTTTGCAGATGTAGTTGTTTGGTAATAGTTTTATCATCTTATTTTTTATCCAGTCCTCACCTGGAGCTTTATTGTTTTTCAGTTTTTGTATGATACAGCTAACTTCTTGATTATTGGTTGAATTTATTGTTTCTGGGATGAGGTGTTCAGTTTGAAAATTATTAACTTCTTTTGTGAGATATGTTGGAAACAAAGCGGCGTTGAATATGAGCTTTTAAATCATTTATATGCACTGGTGAGAAAATAGAATTTTTTATTTCTGTTACAGATCTTAGACATTTTTGCACTGTTGATTTTAAATCTGCTCTCATTTATCCATACAAGCTACAGTTTTCATAGAATTCAATTCTATGTCTCTAACAAGTATTTTAAAAAATTTACTGAAGTGACGAAATAGATTAATAATAAAGGGGAAAAAACTTTCTGCTGCCGATTTTAGATACTTTTGCACCTTCTGCTCTGCTGATTTCAAATCAGCTATCATTTATCCATAAAAGCTACAGTTTTCATGGAATTTACGTCTATGTTTCAAACAAGGAGTTTAAAATATTTACACCAGTGACTACTAAGTATACCCAATTTTCTACTACGTAGGGAGTGGTAGGAAGAAATCGATAATGCTTGATGCAATGCGTTTAAGTCCAAAAATTTTTTTTTGGTTTTAAGATGACTTCATTCTTAACTTACAACAGGGCTCATGCGATTCTTGAAAGACGCTAGTAGTTGTAGTATATTTAGGCTAATGCTCGAATATATTTCTTATTTTAATATTTCATTTCATCTTCAAGTGATTTAGTAAGCTTAACCCTTTTGAAGGCTGTGGTAAGTATACTTACCATGATATACGTTTTATCACTTTAATTTAGGTTTCCATTTTTCAATAACTTCAGCTTTCTTGAAGTGAGTTTGAATAAAATTGGTAACCATTTGTCACTTTTAAAAAACGTATAAAAATTATAAAATACATAATTCCTTTTGAAGTTTGTAGCATTTAAGGAATTTATTTTGTAAATAAACAGAAATAAAAGTCAGTAAGTTCCTAATAGGACATGTTAAATATATTTACCACCAAAAAAATGGCATTTTTGTAAACTAAATTAGTTGTTTTTTTTATATCAATTACTGTTCTTAAAACAATTTCAATTCCAGAAATGCTTTAATTTACCTTTACTAGAAATAAAGGGCCCATTAAAGGGTTAAACTTAAACTGTCTAAAATATCTGGGCACCTGAGTCAGCTTTGCGGCCCTTTTCTCATTCATTGATTTAGTAAGCTGGAATTTTCATGCATATATATACTTTCCTTGGAAAATCATTTTTAGTGGTAATTGCACAAAAATTAAAATATCAGCACATGTTTTATTTTCGTTATCACTTTTTAAAATTTTCTAGGCCCGCGGAAGCTCAGTACTAATTATTATTGTTTCTATTAGTTTATTCTTCAACTTTTAAAGCAAACATTAACCCAAAGATTATTGTTTTCTTACCATTTAAAACCGATTACATAAAAGATTTACCACTTTTTACCGCTATCTAGATAGGGTGGGCAGAGAGAAAAATGTCGAGAATCAATTCTAAAATAAGTTTCTAAAATAAGTTCTAAATAAAAAATCATTAAATAAAACTAATTTACCACCTCGAATTGATTCGACATACTCAAACTGAGCCATTTTGTTTGCATGTAAATCTTGGAGCCAACCTTAAAAAGAGATAAAGATAGTGATGTTATCTCTTCCCTCTTTTACAAACAAAACTGGAAATTCAACTCCTTATCAACCCATACC